TAGTAGCTTGAAGCCTCGGCTGCCTGTCCTCGACATTCAGCATGTTCATGGGACCGGTCACATCGTTTGTTCAAGGTCAGCCAGAGGTCCCGACTGGTCGTGAGGATCGTCCATGCCTTTCGAAGGGGTGTCCCCTTCCATTCCAAACCATAGGCGCAGCCATCGACCCGGATCCAGTAGACACTTCGTCCGTGACGCCGGATGGAGAAGACCAGTCTCTTGATTGCTCGGGATTCCCATCCTGGAGTGGCGGATGTCGGCCATTCCCATGCAATGTCGTTGCCGGAGGAGATGACGGGTTCCAGTCCTCGAGCAATCTCGTCACACCGGGAGAGATCTCGTCCACGACGCTTCAAAAAGGCGTCCCATTGCTCCGGCGTTCGTTCCGTGAGGTTCTGGAGGCTTGACAGTCGAGTGCATCGGAACGATACCCATGCCAGTCGTGGAGTGACTTCCTGGATCCGGCTAGCCAGTTTCGAAGTGCCTTTTCGGGTGTCGAGGTCATAACCTGTCTTGAAATTGATCCGCTCGCCATAGAAACCTCGCTCCATAAAGGCTCCTGTGAGGGTCGATTCGGGCGAGCAGGCGATCTCCATGATGTCAACCTGCGGGCTGATGTGGTTGATCATCTCCCGGACGGGCTCCATCAGGGTCACCGTCATCGCTGCTGCCATGGCCAGCCTTCTGGCCAGCGACGGTCTCACGACCTTCTCCGTCATGTGGTTCGTACAGGCGATGTCATCCTTGATCTCATGGTTCCTTGCCATAGAGGGACGTGGACTGCCAGTAGAACTCGTCATGCGTGCAGTGCCAAAGGTTTCCCCACCAAACGTAGGGCTCGTCGTGCTCGTAGTGCCGTGTGAAGGGAGATCGGAATCTCCGACATTCCGTGAGGGTTGTCGTGTTGGGCTCATATGATTGTTGTCAGGATTGGCGTCCAGGTCGGCCTCCAGCCGTGTTGGACAGCTCGATTGCATCCGGTTCCGCAATCGCTTCAATGCCTCCCAGAGAGCATTCACTCGGCCGAAGTGGCCTCTTTCTTCACCTTCGTCTCCGCCGCCAGCTCGTCGATCTTGGCCTTTGCCTCTCGGAGTTCCTTCTTCACCTGCTCGAACTCCGCCTCGTTGACAATGACCGCCGAGGAGGACACCCGTGAGCTCACACTCATCGGGCTTGCGGCTCTCTGAGGTCCCGCTTCCTCTTTCTTCATCTGCAGGGCCTCGGGTTCCGTCTTTGTCGAGGGCTTTGGCGGACTCTGGCGAAGAGGAGACACTGCCTTGGGGTACGCCGTCATCTTCACAGTCTCCTTGGCTGGTGAGCAGGATGCTCCGGCCATCAATGCCTCCCCCAGGGCTTCGTTGGCCCGGACTTGGACTGTCGTCCGGCCGCGGCCACGGGTCTCCACCACAGTGCGGCCTCTGATCTCCAGGAGCTTGCCGTTGAAGATCTTCTCCGTAACTTCGTGTGCCTGGAAGGACTCCATGAGCTCCTGTTGAGCGAGTTCGACTTGATCGGGCGGAGGTCCAATGGCCCGGGTGTCTCCGGTCCCAGCGCCCTTGGTGGAGTATCGGAGTCTCAGGCCACAATGATTGCATGCCTGCCAGGCCGCGTACTTGTTGGTCCGCTGCGGTCCAGGTACATGATGTCCCAGGCATGGCCATCCGACATGGCGTGGGTCCTGGTCCGTTGACGGTGGACATGTCTTCATTGTCCAGGGGGCTTGTCCTGCGGAACACGTCGAGTCGCTGAGCCAGCTTGCAGAGGCGGTCGGACAGATCATTGGCGTTCTCTTCTTGCATCACCATCAATGCCCAACCACCACAAACAGCAGACTGGCAACCCCCATGATGCTCAACTAGATCGTGTTCCTGTTCGGGTTCATGACCATTTTCATGCATCGCCCCGTGTTCGTGTACATGTGCTTCTCCGTGTGCATGTCTATCATGTACCTCATGTGCATGTTCATCTGCCGCAGTGGACTCTCTCTCTGGAGGCCTCGGATCCTCTGGTACCTCACCGGCCTCAAGCTCAACATCTATGGGAACACGCTCGATCACCACATCCGAGTCCCTTTCATCTCCACCAAGCTCTTCCCCTAAGGGGTGCGGATGTTTGCCAGGATCCTCATCATTTCGATTCTCCGGCGCAGAAGGGGTGTAGTTCGATGCTGCACCCGAATGGAGAAAAGCGGCAGCTCTCAGGTGTTGTTCTCGACGTTCTTCATCCGTTTGTTCTCTCTCATCTTCCATCTCCTCGAGCTCCTCTGGGGCATTGAGAGGGACACCAGTTGTACCGGCCAGCACACGCCCGGTTGGGTCGTGCTTGGTCCCCTTGCCGCCGGTGGCTCTCTTCTTCCATGGTGGCGGTTCATCTCCAGGATCAGAGTCGTCTCCTTGGTCTTCATCTGGTGGCCACCTGGTACTTGGATTCGTACTGAACCGCTTCAGGAGAAACTCAATGGGCAGTTTGTGTTGGCTCAGGTCGATAATCAGATGTCCTCCAGGCGCGGACCACAGCTGACTGACCCACCATCTTCCATCGCCTCCTCGATGGGCCAAGTAGTCCCCGTGGTATGACACCATCGCTCGCCGTGCCCGGAGAATCCTGGAGCCGATCAGCAGGGGCGTGTCTTCAGCACCTCCATCGAGCAGGTAGAAGTCCATGCCACCCATGGCGTTCGTGGTCACGTGACATTTGGACACTGCTCGCTGATGCTCCCCATTGCCGAATCGGAACCTCGGTCGCGTGTCCAGCGAGATGTCATAGAGGAAGTGGCCTGAGTCGATCAGCCGGGACATGGATCGAATCCCAGCTACAGATTCCGTTGCTCCAGTGTCGATAATCGCCTTGGTCAGCGATAGCTCCCCAAGGTTCGTGTCCTCTGCCAAGCTCATGACGTTGACCTCGTAGTACGGGTACTCGGAGTTGATGTCAACCCAGAAGGCCTTTCCTCCCTTCCGAGCCTTGCCACTGCCTTTGCCTTTTCCTTTGAATCCCTCCCTTCGGCGAGGATGTCGGTGACGTTCTCCCGGATGAAGACCCACGAGACCACCTGTCAGGGCACTTGGCATAGCCATGGCCATGCTGACCACAAATGAAGCATGGTCCCAATCCAGCAGAGCCGCTGCTCTTTCCTTTTCCAAACGATGGCTTGCCCTTGCCCTTTCCCTTTCCGCCAAGGCTCCCAGAAGGTCCGCCTTTCATCCCAACAGGACTGTAGTAGCCCCTCGCTGCTCGGACCTTGGCAACGGCCATCTTCGCCTCGGCAAGGGTCTTGTTGGCCTCGGCTGCAATCGTGTAGGCCTCTTCCAGTCTCTTCTCACCCTCCAATTCATTGGGATCTGGATCATGCCCTTCGTCTTCTCCCGGATGTTGACCGTCACCGAACTCAAACTCCGTGGCATAGTCTTCCTCCCAGTAGGTCGGAGACCAGTCATTCCAGAAGGCGTCTTCGGGCCACCAATCGGATTCGCCGGGCCACCATTCCTCTTCGGCCTCCCAGTCGTTCACATCATCGGTGAACCAAGCCGTTCTTCGAGCTAGCCGTCCATGATCATCGGCCTGATCCGCACCATCAGCAAACAGAGACCTCAAGGCCTGTCTGATCTGGTTGTGAAGTGCGTGGAGTTGCGAGTCAGAGTCAGGACATGCTGTCGTTCGGCCTGGCTCAACTTTGCCGCCTTCAGGAGGCGATACCCCCTCAGCTCATGCTCGAAGAAGCCCGCAGCCTCGCCAGTAGTCGCCGGAGTCGCTGTAGGCCTCGTCACCGGGGGGTCGTCATCCTCGAAGGTCACATCTTCTCGAACCGAACCCAGTCCAGCTCTGGTCACGTTGGGAGACCTTGTTGGCGAGGTAGGGGGATCATGCTCGCTAGCACCAACTCCCATGGACCTGACCTCGTGTCGAGCTCTTTCATGCCGAGCTCGTTGAAGCGCTTGTTGGAGCTCTACGAACAGCTCCTCCTCCCTGACCAGAAGTTGAGGGATCGTCTCATGGGAGGTCCGCTTCAGGCTCGACCACTTCTCCAGCCTTGAGAAGCTGTCCGGGATCGGAAGCTTCTGGAGTGGGCTTTCGCGAAGCACGGCCAAGAGCTTCTCCATGCCGTTCTCGGAGCTGAAGTCCTTGGGCTCCAGGTGCCGAACCACGCTCTTCGCCACTCCTGACAGCTTCTGCCAGACCCGGGGTGCTGCCAGCTTCTTCTCCGCATCCTTGAGGCTGTATTCGAACCACTTGCATGAGGTCGCGAAGGCCTCAAAGGATGCGGGGTCCCCATCCCAGCTCGGGATCTCTTCTGAGGGCATCTCACCCCCTTCCACCAGTCGTCACCGCCAGGTCCTCAGTGATCGCCGCCAGCAGCTCCGACTACCATGCAAACAGTCCTATGCAAAGGACGACCTAGGTCCACCGGGGACCGCCGCGCGCGCACGCGCCAACCTGTTTGGCCTCGCTTGCTCGAGCCCCGCCGCTGTGGCGGAAGTTCATGAAAAAGGTTCAAAAAGGGACATGTGATGACGCCATGCTTGCAAATAGGGACTCAGTTCCCATGTCATGTGGTGATGAGGTTTCTTGGTCCACTCAGACTCCAAAAGAAAGCTTCTGGTTTCTGAACATGTAGTTAAAGCTGGCAAATTGAGTGGGGTCCACTGGGGAGCCTTTCGCCTCCTCGGCAGCTGGAACAAGTAAGAAGTTTGGCTTAACTCCCTGCAAAAGAATGAGTCGCATGCTTTGTGAGGCCCTTTCCGCCATGTGTGGCCGTGCGGGGACAACAGTACTTGGTCAATTCGAGGGGCCCAAATCTCCGACGAGCCTCTCGAGATGACCCAAAGCACCGGGGAGAAGCAAAAATACATTTTCCTCCGGAGCTGCCCAAAGCAACTTGGTCGATCTGCGTCCATCTTGACTCAAGAGAAAACCTTCCAAAGGTCCAAAGCCACAAATAAATTGAGATCACCTCAGGTTCTATGACTTAAGAGTGCCTTGCTTGGCAGTTTCCCATCCGATTCGATTCGGATTTTTCACTTCAAGCAAAATGGACCAAATCTCGCCTGTGTGACACGCAAGTGGACCTATGTTGGAGTCTTGGCGTGCTTCACCTCCACTCCGGGGAGAGCCGCCCAGTTCGCCGCAGTCGGCGGCACCGGGTGCGAAGCCCGTCCGCGTGGGCGGGTGCCGAGAAGGCTGGGGCTGATGATTACGGCGACCCAGCGGCCAAGTGGGTGCCAGGTTCACCAAAAGAACAACAGTGGGGGTACAACAAAACTGGATTTCCCCATGAAACCCCCAGTTGGGACCTTCGGCCTGGACACTCTCGAACCAAAGGAGTGGACCAAGAGTTGGCTACCAGGCGACTCCGACAAGACCTGATCGGATACCCTGATCACCACCGAGGCTTCGTTGGGCTCGCTTGGTGGCCGCGTACATGCCTCCCTGGCCTGCACCACTGGAGACTCTTTACAGAAGTTACCCTTGTGATGCTTTCCGCCCAAAACATCATGAAAAGTTTGTTCCCCTCATTCCTCTCAACCCACAACACAAGTTCTGGTCCGAAACCTCAAGATGCTAGAGACGGGTCTGCCATCGAAGGGCTACCAGCTTTCGTCAAGAAACAGAGCATCATGAAGCATCTAAGGGGGTGGCATCGGGGTCACCAATCTTCGCTGGAACTTTCTTGAACATCGATCATTCCAACTTGAACTCTGCAGTTGTAGTCAGAACAGCCACATGGCCGGCAAAATTTGGGCTTGGTTTTTTTTTTGCCCTGTTTTGGGCGCTGTTTCGACACGTTTGCCTCAGGGTTTCAAACGGACCTGGTAGATTTGGGGGCAACGCCTCCCAAGGTTCTTTTTTGACCTGTTTTGAGGTGCCAAGGTTTCAAACGGACCCTGCTTCGACAAGTTTGCGTCAGTGTTTCAAACCGACCTGGTAAATTTGGAGGCAGTGCCTCCCAAGGTTCTTTTTCGACCTGTTTTGAGGCGCCACGGTTTCAAACGGACCCCGTACATGTGGGGCCGTGCCTCCTAAGGTTCTTTATTGACATGGTTTGGGACGCAAGGTTCTTTTTTGCACTGTTTTGGGCGCTGTTTCGACTCAGGGTTTCAATCGGACCTGGTAGATTTGGAAGCAGTGCCTCCCAAGGTTCCTTTTTGACCTGTTGAGGTGCCAAGGTTTCAAACGGACCCGGTCATTTGGGGCCGTGCCTCCTAAGGTTCTTTATTGACATGGTTTGGGGCGCAGGTATTATTTTGCACTGCGCTGTTTCGACAAGTTTGCCTAGGGCTTCCCGCGCACAGGCTAGCGCCCAAACAGGTCAAAAGGAAGCCCTTCCACGGCCTCCCCACTCGCAGGCAAGCGCCCAAACAGGTCAAAAAGCAACCCTACACAGGTGCCCAAACCGCCCTGTCACAACCTTTCGCAATCCCGCTTGCAACCCGAAACGTGACAAGGGGAGACAAGGCAAAGTCATCTCGACATGCCATGGGAGACAAAGGGAGACAAAGCAAAATCATCTCAGCCCAGCATCCGAGCATCCAGACACCATGGGAGACAAGGGAAGCAAAGAGAGACAAAGGGAAACAAAGCAAAATCATCTCAGCCCAGCCTCCAGACACGCCGTGGGAGACAAGGGGAGACAAATCATCTCAGCCCAGCGTCCAGACACGCCATGGGAGACAAGGGGAGACGAAGGGAGACAAAGCAAAATCATCTCAGCCCAGCCTCCAGACATGCCACGGGAAGGGAGACAAAGCAAAATCATCTCAGCCCCCAGCGTCCAGACACGCCATGGGAGACAAGGGGAGACAAGGAGAAACGAAGCAAAGCGAACCCACGCCAGCATCCAGACACGCCATGGGAGACAAGGGGAGACGAAGGGAGACAAATCAGCCCAGCATCCGAGCATCCAGACACACCATGGGAGACAAGGGGAAGCAAAGGGAGACAAAGGGAAACAAAACAAAATCATCTCAGCCCAGCATCCAGACACGCCATGGAAGACAAGGGGAGACAAAGGGTGGGAAGCATCTTGGCCCCAGGGAATTGAGGACCCCTCACAGCAACGCTGTTTCGTGAACAACCTACACACGTTCCGGTCGCCCAAAAAGCTTAGCGCCCAAACAGATCTAAACGAAACCGCAAAAAAAAACGAAAAGTCCGGCCCAAGGGCTCCCCGCGCGCAGGCTAGCACCCAAACAGGCCAAAAGGAAACCCTACACAGTGACAGGTGCCCAAGCAGCCCTGTCACGGCCTTTCGCAAACCCGCCGCCCAAAAAGCCTAGCGCCCAAACAGGTCAAAATGAAACAAGAAATCGAAAAGGAGCCTAGCTCAAGGGCCTCCCGCACGCAGGCTAGCGCCATCTAGCGGCCAAACTGGTCAAAAGGAAACCCTTCCACGGCCTCTCCCGGCTCGCAGGCAAGCGCCCAAACAGCTCAAAAAGCAACCCTACACAGGTGCCCAAACTGCCCTGCCACGGCCTTTCGCAAAACAATCCTGGCACCCAAAACAGGTCAAAAAGAAACCACACAGAGGTGCCCAAATAGCCTTGCCACGCCGCAAGTGGATAGACTAGGCTAGCGCCCAAACAGGTCAAAAGGAAAGAAACCCTTCCACGGCCTCTCCCCGCTTGCAAGCCACCCAAACAGATCAAAAAGAAAAAACCCTACACAGGTACCCAAACAGCCCTGTCACTGTCACGGCCTTTAGCAAACCCGCCGCCCAAACAGACCTGGCACCCAAACAACTCAAAAAGAAACCAGAAATCGAGTCCAGCCCAGGGGCATCCCGCGCACTGGCTCAAACAGATCAAAAGGAAACCCTTCCACGGCCTCTCCCCGCTCGCAGGCAACCCAAACAAGTCAAAAAGAAACCCCACAGAGAGCCTTGCCATGCCGCAAGTGGATAGACTAGGCTAGCGCCCAACAGGTTTTAGGTCAAAAAGAAACCCCACAGAGGTGCCCAAATAGCCTTGCCATGCCGCAAGTGGATAGACTAGGCTAGCGCCCAAACAGGTCAAAAGGAAACCCTTCCACGGCCTCTCCCCGCTCGCAGGCAACTCAAACAGGTCAAAAAGCAACCCTACACAGGCGCCCAAACCCAAACAGCCCGGCGCCCAAATAGATCAAAAAGAAACCCTACACAGGTACCCAAACAGCCCTATCACGGCCGCCTTTAGCAAACCCGCCGCCCAAACAGCCCTGGCACCCAAACAAGCCAAAAAGAAGCCAGAAATCGAAAAGGAGTCCAGCCCAAGGTCATCCCGCACACAGGCTCGCCCCCAAACAGGTCGCAGGCAAGCGCCCAAACAAGTCAAAAAGAAACCCCACAGAGGTGCCCAAATAGCCTTGCCACACCGCAAGTCGATAGACTAGGCTACCGCCCAAACGGGTCAAAAGAAACCCTTCCACGGCCTCTCCCCGCTCGCAAAAACCCAAACAGGTCAACAAGAAACCCTACACAGGTACCCAAACAGGAGTGTCATGGCTTTTAGCAAGCCTGCCACCCAAACAGCCCTGGCACCCAAACAGGTCAAAAAGATACCCTACACAGGTACCCAAACACAGCCCTGTCACGGCCTTTAGCAAACCCGCCGCCCAAACAGCCCTGGCACCCGAACAGGTCAAAAAGAAACCCCACAAAGGTGCCCAAATAGCCTTGCCACGCCGCAAGTGGATAGACTTGCCATAGGGATGCACAGGCCGCAAGTGGAAGTTTTGCTGCAGGAGCCCTGCCCAACCAAACGGTACTGTTTGAAACCTTATACCCCGGAAGCAGTGCCAATTGAAACCCTATACCCCGGAAACAACTCTGAAAAAAAAAACTTCCCAACCCAACGGTACTTTTTGAAACCCTGTACCCCAGACCAAAAAGAAACCCTACACAGGTACCCAAACAGCCCTGTCACTGTCACGGCCTTTAGGAAATCGCCGCCCAAACAGCCCTGGCACCCAAACAATTCAAAAAGAAACCAGAAATCGAGGCCAGCCCAGGGGCATCCCGCACACTGGCTCAAACAGGTCAAAAGGAAACCCTTCCACGGCCTCTCCCCGCTCGCAAGCAACCCAAACAAGTCAAAAAGAACCCCCACAGAGGTGCCCAAATAGCCTTGCCATGCCGCAACTAAATAAACTAGGCTAGTGCCCAAACGGGTCAAAAGAAACCCTTCCACGGCCTCTCCCAACCCAAACAGGTCAACAAGAAACCCTACACAGGTACCCAAACAGGAGTGTCATGGCTTTTAGCAAGCCTGCCACCCAAACAGCCCTGGCACCCAAACAGGTCAAAAAGATACCCTACACAGCTACCCAAACAGCCCTGTCACGGCCTTTAGCAAACCCGCCGCCCAAACAGCCCTGGCACCCAAACAGGTCAAAAAGAAGCCCCACAGAGGTGCCCAAATAGCCTTGCCGCGCCAGTGGATAGACTTGCCATAGGGACGCACAGGCCGCAAGTGGAAGTTTTTCCGCAGGGGCCCTGCCCAACCAAACGGTACTGTTTGAAACCTTATACCCCGGAAGCAGTGCCAATTGAAACCCTATACCCCGGAAACAACTCTGAAAAAGGAAAAAACTTCCCTACCCAATGGTACTATTTGAAACCCTGTACCCCGGAAACAGATACAAAAAAAACCTACCGGGTACCAAAAAAACCAGTCGGCAAAATTTGATGTCCCGACGTGACCTGACAAGCCAAACGTTGGAGCCAAATCGCTCCACCAAACCCTTGAACCTAATTACTGGTTGAACTTCCCCCAATTCCCTTCAAGGGTGTTTCAACCCAACATGCCGAGTGCCTGCGTGCGCCTGCCGTGCAAAACGTACGCGGCCAGGTTCCGTGCGCGGGTTCCACGCAGTGCGCGCGGGTTCCACGCAGTGCGCGCGGGTTCCATGCCGCAGGGTCAGTAGCCGCCCATGTACAGTGCCTGCGTTTCGGTTGAGGGTGCATCTCCACATGTCTCATCTCCGCAGAAAAAGTTGGGGCCAGTAAAATCGGTCTTATTGGATTCAGAACCCTGCAGTGCATTCCAAATTGGAGGAGAGACTGGAGAGGCCTGAGGCTATCAATCCGTCTGGTCATTTGTTTCAAAACAAACTATGATACCTAGCCCACCAGGCATGCGGCATCACATGGCGAACGAAGTTTATCCTCTAATTCTCCCTTCCAAAAGGGTTTGATTTTTGGAACGGAGGGTCGGCAGTCCCCAACCCAACGTGGGCAACGTGAACGACGCGCTACGCGGGCGAGTGGCAGAGCGGAAGAGTTGTGGAAACTTCTTCTTCACACGCTCCAGCTCCTGGTCAGGCTCAGTTGGGTATGGGTTGATACATCTTGGACCATGTTGAAGATCCCTTGGTTGCAGGTTCTTCCAGGATCTCCCAACTGCACCACCCATCAGCTCCTTTTTGATTTGGTAGTCTCGCTCGTCGCGCTGAGTGAGACCCTCTCACCTCGTCCCCTTCAGGGACTAGCGCATTCGGTGGCCAAGTCGGTATTGTACGATGCCTTGGTAAAAACTGTAGTCCCGCAAAGCGCTATGGCTCCTCCACCTTTATTGTAACAGCCAGCAGCTTGATCAAAGGTGCCACCAATATCGAAGCCCGGGTTAAGGTAGGCGTCGCTGTCTCCAACACAGTCCCAGGCAATTGCGGCTGTTCCTGCACCTTCGAGCTTCACAGACGTCCAGCCGCCCGCTCCTCCTTCACGGTACCCTTGACAACGATCGTAGCAGTCGGTGCACTTTTTCATGTTGGAATTGAGAAGGTTCACTTGGAAAATGGGTTCCCCGACGCAATCAGCAACGTCCCAGATTTTGAGCCAAACTGGTGCCTGACGGCGATTTGATGAGGCGACTTCTGCGGCTCGAAACTTCTGCTCGCAAACCAGAAGGTTATGGGTCAAACAGTGAGGAACCCTTGCCTCTGATATTTGATTACAATATTGTACAATGTATACATATAGTCCAACCATACCTATAGTAGTGAAAAAGCACGACGGCCCCACTCCTTTTTTGCCGCCCTGAACCGTGACAGGCTGGTAAACTGACACTAGCCCCCTATGGAGCTAGTGCCCGGCGTCTCCGGTAGGTGCACCGCAGCATCCGCCCGTAGACGCTTGGCCTCTTCGGTGTCCTTGAGCGCCCAGGTGCCGTTCTCCATGACCGCCACCAGCTTGCTGCCAGGATTTCCTCGCCTGGTGCCCATCGAACCAGACGAGCCCCACCAATCGCCAGTCTCTTGTCTTCGCCAAGTGAAGTTCCATTCAACAAGTCATAGCCGGTCTTGGAGTCCATCACCGACACCTGTCTCCATCTCGACACCGATGAGAGCTGAGGAAGTCAGCTTCTTCCATCGCTGTCGCAGCTTGCGACATCTCTGCCGCCAAAGACGAGCGGACGACCCGCTTCAGTAGGCCTGAATGAAAGGCCAACGCGCAAGCAGGAGCCTCACCCTCCAGGATCTTAGGGCTCGCCAGCAGCAGGACCAATCCACCTTGAGAACGACCCTTCGGCATGCCTCCGAACGAAGCATCGAAGACCGCCAGGTTCCTGAAGACTTGAAAATGTGGTTCACGGGCTCGGTCAACAAGAATCTTCAATTCAGTCAGCGCTGCCGGGTCGTTGATGCCAGCCAGCTGTTGAAGTCGCGCGCACCCATATAGAAGATCTGCTCGCACTTGCCTGGCTAGCCAACTCGGTTGTCCAATCATGGCGCCAATCCATGCTCGCTCATTGGGCATCACTGGTTGTCGGCTTTGAGAGTTTGACCTCTGTGGAGGATCTTCCACCTTCTTGGCATATTCGTTCATCTGGATGGTGACGGAAAAGTCCTCATTCTGTTTCTCCCATCTACAACAGAACCTGGTGTCTTCCTTCGGATGCACCCACTCGGCGAAGGTGAACAGATCCTTGGGCTTGGGCCACAACTCCTTTTCGGCCTCCTCACTGCCGATGAAGCGGACATCATCCACGCGCACTGCCACACATGGCCCTCCGGGTCGGACACTCCAGGCGCCAAACGCAGCTCCTTGCCACCAATGCCTGAAACATCTCTGCTGAAACCCTGGTAGCATAGCCGAGGGCTTTCTGCAAGTCCAAATCCGGCCTTCTTCATCCGGAAAAGGTCAGTGCGTGCTCCAGCAGGAACCTTGGTCATCAGGAATTGGCGAACAAAGAGCGGATAGCTCTTGGGAGATTGGACAAAAACTCTCTGGCCCTCTGGGAGATAGTCACCCTGCAAGAATGCCGCAGAAATGTCAGCAAAGTGCATGCGCCAGTGGAACTGCGCTGCCAGGAAGCGCAGGAAGTTGTGAACAACCAAACTGGCTGTAGGTCCATCGGTGGCATAGTCACCTGCTCACTGGTCACGGCGGCCAGCTATCACCAACCTGGCTTTCAACTTGGCCAGTTCCAAATCAGCATCCGTTGGATGTGTATTCTTTGGGTCCGCCTTGTTCACCGAGACGAAACGGCTGGGGAGAACCTCAGAATCGTGCACCGTGTCCTCACACATTACCGGGGCCAGTGCATCAGGCTCAACATAGATCTGAAGTGCATTGATGATGGGCTTCTCGAAGGCTTGTTGCCATGCCGGAGACAGGTGGCTCCATTGAAGTTCAAGTCTCATCTTGCCCGTCTCGGGTTTGTCCACATCCGCTTCAATCACCAGCGGCAGGTGCTCAGTCGAACACAACTCCAGTAGGCCACGAGGGTCAGGATGAGCGGTCGTAGCCGCCAATGCTGCAGTTGCCTCAGACTCAAATGCCTGAAAACATTCCAAGACTTCCATGGCCAAGTCCATCCGACAGGAGGATGTGGACGGGATCTCCAACGCGGGGTCGATCAACTGCGAAGCTTGCCCTTCTGACACCAGAACCTGATATGCTTCGGCCTTGAGATGCCGCCGCCTATCTTCTGCGGCCGCTCGGCCCTGCATCCAGCTGGCAAGAACCGGATGATCTCGCACCGGATCCATGGTCACGAAGCGAGTCCTCTCCAAATCTGGTTCATGTGCACTGAAGCATTCCAGCCCTTCCAGTAGATGTTGTCCACGAGGTACTCCTTCGTTGCCTGCGGTGTGAGTATCGCGCTTGAGTAGCTCGCAGGCCTTGTAGACCGGGTATTTCTGGAGGAATGGCTCGAGCATCTTGTTGATGGCCCTCATCAGGAACGAACCCGGGACAAACATGTAGTGGCGAGGTTGTAGATGGACCCTCCATGTGCACAGCTCCCGTTGAGATGGAGCGTGTAGCCAATCTTTCTCACCACTCAATCGAAGCGACATTTCACCAGGAAGGTTTGCCGCGATATAGTCGCTGAGGTCATCAATACCTGAGCACGACCACAAGCTTTCTTGTACACGTCGATGATCTCTTTCCGAGTGAGAGGCCTTTGAAGACGACCAGGAACATCTCCTAGCGTTCTCCACTTAGCCACTCACCCTCGCCCTGATGCACGGAGTCGGATTCCTCCTTCTGATACCAATCCGCCTCTCACCATCGGGACGCCATCCTGCCTCCAGCGCGTCATAGTCGGCATGAATGGGATGACATTCTCGAAGCATGTCGACCACGTACATGTCGTGCGAGACCTCATGAGAATTGCCTTGATCATCATACATGCACATTGGGCACAGCAAACACGTCGACCTCGGTGAACGGAGAATCCATGGATGGCGCCGTCGCATTTGTATCATCTGAAAACGGACTGTATGAAGGATCGGCACTGTTCGGCACTTCGGATTCTCTGCCTCTTCACTGATCTCGCAATCCCTCACCGGCATCACAGCAAGTGCCTCCTTTTTCTCAAGCTTTGTCTTCATCTTCTTCAGATGCTCTTGCGTTGACTTGAATGCTGTCTCATAGAAATCCCTCTTTAGTCTTATTGAAGTCAAGGGCGGGTTCACCGCCGATGAGGATGCCACTGTAGCCCGGATCAAGGAATTTTCTGCGTCCAGCTTCCGCCGGGTTGAGCGATCGCTTGGTCGTTGCTCCTCCTTCTGTTTGATCTTTTGGGCCACAGAGATCGGCATGTCGTCTAAGACGGATGTGGCCCGGTGTAGATCCTCCACTCTTACGGGCCTATCCTCCGGAGGCTGTTCATCATCGCTGAACTCTGTCGAAGGGTATGTGGGATCAGCCTGAACACCGTTTGTTCAGCGATGTCCGCATTCACATCAGATCCGTCTTCTTTGGTGACCTTCGTGGACCCAATCTCATCTCGTAGTTTGTGCCTGTATCTGATCCAGACCCAGCAGGTCCCTCCCGCGACACTTGATCTTGCAGCCAGCGGGCGAGCCCTCGCCGGCGCACATGGCTCATAATGCATGACCATCGAGCCCTCGGCCAACAACTCGAGCCTTGGCATGTCCGGAACATGTTGGGTGCTCCAAACGCCCGGATCCAACCATCCCTCAGCAGTGTCACTGTGCTCTGAGCTGAAGCATCTACGGAAGCGATGGCCATCTGGTACAGGGAAAAGGCATCAATCACATGCGTCACTGCATACTTGGTGGTTTTGGGATCCCATACATAGAAAGTATCGCTACAGTTGCGGATGTTGAATGCCATCGGCCTCGAGTAGGCGGCCTTGGGAGTGACATGAGGAGGGGTCACCTGCTTGCAAAATTGGCAATCCAAGTCCTTGATAGCCTACAGCACCACCGGCTTGGCTGCATTTTGGGACATCATCCTTGCCAGCTTATCGTTGCTGATGTGGCCCACCAAGGAGTCGTAGCGGTGGAGACCGTCCGCCCTCCGCAGTAGGCTCCAACTCCACTGGAACAGTTTCCCACACTCTAGTTGCTGGTGTATGCCGGTGTAGTTCAATCCTCATGTTTCATCATTCTCCTCCTTCAAGGCCTCCAGCCCATCCACCGCAGGCTGAGCATTAGGTTCATGGTCGGATCGTGTGAGAACTGGGTCGACAGTGATGGAAGGGCGCCTCGTCGTCCAGGGCGGCTGTCAGAACCGCCTTGGGCGTTTTCTTCGCTTTTGCTTGGTCGTCCCCGGCCCTTGGCTCCGTCCTTGTTGGCGTTGTCCGCGCTCCTTGGGCATGCCCTGCGCCGTCATCATCTCTGGCATCTTCATCATCAAGCCATCTGGGCCATGTCCATCTGCGCGGGCGTTTGAGAGCTCGAAGCTGCCTGAGCAGGGTCTGGCTCCCGGTCCTTGCCATCTCTGTTCTTGTTCATCTTGCCCATCGTTTTGCGGCCTGGAGTCCTGGAGGACTGAGAGAAGTTGGTGACCTCCGCAGCGTTGATTCAAAGACTGCCGCTCACAGGATTCCTCACCTGAGTC